GCTGTGCAAAAAGCAACGTAAGGGAGAGGGGGGAAAGGGGCAAGAGAGAACAGATTTGTTTCTTGACTAATCCTACCAATGTCTTGGGCAGAAGTTGTCTTTCATTAAGGGGTGACAAACTAACTGAGGAGAGCAAACCACAGTGGGCCAAGCATCCTTCACAATAACAGCCTCTCCATCTCAGAGGTACTCAAGCACTGCACAGAGTCGAATAGAGAAAGCCTTTTGCATTGGAAGCACTGGACAGTTACTCAGGACACATTCAACTAAGATTATCCCTGTACATGCTGACACATTCCCACTTCACTCTCCAGAAACACATTTAATGCTGAATTCCAGAAATACAAGATAGAAAGGACCTATTGGGTTGCGCTAGGGCAAGTCTTATAAAATTAACCACAATAGAAAACCCAGAAGCTGTTTTTTCCCCCCTAAGTTTACAGACCTTGCATGCTCCTTTCCGCTAAGGACATTTCTAGAACAATTCTGCCAGCGGGAAAAAATCTGAGAACTATGAACTAACGCTCATACATCCAGCTCCACCTTTACCAGACCTGCTCCACCTGTGCCACAGAGAAAAGACTCGCATGACTACAAGCATCAGCTGGCTGTCTTCAAACAGACTAAAACATACACATGCAGTGCACTTCGTTTCCTCACTTCAGCTTACCTTATTGTAACACAACACAAGAAGAGCTAGAAAGCAATCTCCATGCTCTGAGGTTCATTTTTACTGCAGCTCGCTTGAACATTTCAGTTTAGCCCAGTGCCCCCAGCCACCAGATACTCTTCCAGCGTCTGTCATCCTCCATTGTATCGCTCTATTAAAACATGCAGAGATCCCAGCTGGGAACAAGCTAGGTCTGAAGACCAAACATGCAGTTCTACTCAAGTCCTTGTAGAAAGTGATATACAACTCCACAAACTGCAAGAAGCTACAGCTTTTGGAGTTGTTTCTAAACAGTTACTGAGTAAGAAAATAGAAGTTTCAGACACATTTTAAGAGACATGCAGGATGCACATAATGTGTCCTTAACCAAATTCAGGAGTTGGTGAGCACTCAGATTACAAACACCAACTGAACGTGTGCATTCCCACAGCCAGCTGTACAACCCTACAATAACAAACATTTGCAAAGCCAAAACAGTCATTAGATCATCAGCTTCATCACAACACTGAAATCCATACTTCAGGACTTCGCACACGCTCACAGGCAAACACTTTCCTGAACTGGGGCCAAAGTAACAGGCCAAGACTTGGGAGACAACAGTGAAGTCACTGCCTCACCGCCTGCACCTCTCCCTCTGCAGGGTGAGAAAGCTTTAGATGTCCCTCTGGTGGTGTGCACCCCACAACACCTGGCTCATGTTTTGCAGGTAAAAGAGCTGAGCTTCAGGTTACCCTAAGTATACATAATAGCATAAGTTTACATAATACAGCAGGCCACTTAACTCCAAACAGCAAGCATGTAGCTGAATGAAGGGATACATATTATACCCCTTAGCTACAAACATGAGTGATGAGTTATTTTGTATACAGGTTGCTTTGTTCAATAATAGAAAGTTTTCAGGCAGCCAGTTGCCTGCCTTGCCAATGATTTGTGAAACTGTTCTAGCTCGCAAGAGGGGCTTAAAACAGAGAAGGCAGACTTACTCAGTACTGCATTGCTGAAAGAGCTCTGTGACAGGAAGGAAGACCAGCATTCTCCAACCAGCACACCTACAGCTTTACAGAAACACAAGCCAGCCTTCTCCACAGTCCAGCACATCGATGTAATCTCTAAGCCTGGTTAAATGCTGGCAAGGAACTAGGGCATCTTAGACACACTACACAGGGTTTCCATCTCAGGTAGTGATATTACCCGTTCTCAAGCCAAAAGAGCACTAGCTGTGAAAGGATGCTACAACACTAGGTGTTCTGGATATGACACTTCAGCTCTCAAAATTATTTTCTTTCATGCAGACATAAGGAGATTTTAGTCTTTATTCACAGAGTTTAAATCCAAAGAGAACATACAGTCAATGAACCTGATTTACCACACAGCTCATGCCAGAGCAAGAGTAACTTCCTCAGACAGTCCATCACTTGAGGAAATTAAAGTACCCAGTTCTGAGAAGTCTAAGACTGGGATAGATCAAATCAGTAAGCCTAGTTCCCTTCCACTGCTGGCAACGGCATCATATAATCCCTTTGGTAAATGAATGCAGCCATTTTGCTCCCACTCTTCCTGTTGTTCTAGAACCTCATCTCTCTGATGAGCCGCCTTCTAATTACCAGCATAACTATAATCAGAACCAGCTTGCATCTGTTCGTTCTTGCAAAATATTGCCCTTCAGCTTAACTAGTTTTCCCCATGTTTACCCCTTGGTGTATTTATAGATATCAAAAGCTTCACCTTAGGGACCCCATTTTGCAAGACTAGAGATAAGGAGCTCTTCTAGACTCTGAAGAAAGCCTTGCCCCTCTCCCCCTGCACCTGTTCCCACTTTAGCACACACAATATGAAAGCTGCCTTTTGTCTTTCTCACTCCCCTTACAGACACAGGTGACCACAGACACAGCTGGAAGGCAGCATGCAGTCTCCAAGACTTATGTATTGGTACTTTTCACTCTCCTAGGGAATATCACACCTGATTGCCTTTGCCTTTTTTACAGCCACACTGCACTGGTGGCCGATGTTTGTAGACAAGCCAACCCTACTAGAGCAAAGGAATCTGAGCTGGCCTTGCCTTCCAAGTGCCAGACGTAGGAACACGTGGGGGCCCACTGCAGTGATCCTGGAACAGATTAAGTACAGGTCTGTGCCAGACCTCCACAAGATCAAGTACAATCCACTGCAAAATTTAACAAGTCCATGGTTATCCTGTAGTCAGTTACTATATTCCAATCTTCTTGTCCCCTGCTGTTTCTAAACAGTGGTCTCCCAGGCTTTGTGCACGTTTTGTTACTAATTCTAATGGGTGATTTTGCTATATGACATTAGAGTTTATCCCATCTTTTACTAATCCCCCAAGTAATTTGACTCTTCTAGTAAAATACCTTCTAACAGACCCTCCCCATTACAGTGGTGTCACATTATCTTTTGTCAGTTCTTTGCTTATCTTCTTCTATTAATCTCCATTTCCTCTACTTAAGCTAATCATTTCCCAATGTGTCATCATACCAAATCATTTCTAGAGGCCACAGATTAGATTTAAAGTTTGTTCTCTGTAGCAGAAAATGCACCTTTTCAGAGAAAGATGCTGTATTGTCCTGAAGCAATGTTTAACATCTCACATTCACCTTTACCCCCTGAATTGCAACTTTCCTTCAAGCTTACTCTGAATTCTCAGTTTCTGTTAAATGCATCGTTCCTCCCCTCTTCACATCCTAAACATATGCTGGCCATCCGTACTTTATGAGTTACAAGCTCAACTTTGATTTGACAGACTGACTTTAAATCCTTGCCCCCGCTGTTATCTCTAGGACTTGCCATTTCACAACCACTCCCGCCTGCCCCCATGATTCTTAACCGTCTTAATTGATTAAGGTTTTGGATATTTTTACATAATTTACATTTTATGTATTTTATACAGTTATACAAAGAGTATTTGTATTGTTATATCAAACTGATTCAACAGTTGTGGGTTTTTTTTGTTTGTTTGTTTTCCTTTGGAATACAAAGAAATTGAGAAACTTGAGAAATTGAGAATACTTTCAGGTGCGGTGTTTTAGGGACATGGGAAACAAAAAGCAGCCACAACTCAGAAAAGCTGAGATCATCCCAACCTGATTCATAAATGCAGCCAGACACGCCCTGAAGAGCAGCCTGACTTTCTGAGCGTTACAGCAGACAGCTTCCAGTGAAGATAACGGGAGCTGCTCAGTCCTTAAAATGCTGTGGGGGAACAAAACACGAGAGGGGACCAGGCACTAAACGTAGGTGCAAGGCTTCTGGTTGTGACTTGTAAGAGTAGGTTTCAATGAGCAGCGACTGCTCCGGCTCCAAACACCGTATCCAAGAGATACGTGAACGGAGTGCCCAAGGTGCAGTTCTGCTGAAGTTAACCGCCCCCAGCGGATAAATCCCACACCAGACAGTCACTTTTCCCCTCATTCCCCCCCGCCGCCCCAGCGTGGAGCACTCGGGAGCGGGGCACTGCTCCCCGCACCTGCCGGTCCCCGCCCGCACACGGAGCCGCGCCGCGAGCCACCCCGCGCCCCCTGCCCCTCACGACCCCCTCTCACCCCTGGGGCCGCCGGCTCCGTCCAGCCACGGAGCTTTTTTCTTTCCCCCCTCCCAGCTCGCGGCTTGGGATGCGCGGAGCACGCGGCGGCTCTCCAGACGGACCCCTTCACCCCGGGCCGCCCCGTCCCGTCCCCCCGCGCCGAGCTCACCGCGGGCGGGCTGCGGGCAGGTGCTCCTCGCCGCTCCGCTGCCGCCCAGCGCCCGGGCCGCGAGCGCCGGCCCCGCGGGGAGCGCAGGAACTGACATCAGCCGCCCCGGGCCCTTAATCCCCTCCCGGCAGCGGCGGCCGGGCAGGTGGGGCGGGCGGCGCCCCCTGCGAGGGAGGAGCCGCGCCCGCTCCCCGTCCTTGACCGCGGCCGCCCTCCGCGCCCAGCCCACGGTGCTGTGGTGGGGCCGGGCTGCGGGCAGCGGCTCGGGGCGGCCCCCGGGGGCTGCCCCCTGAGGCGGGACAGGTGCCGCGGGGCCGCCATCTTGTGCTGGGCGCCTGGGGGCTGCAGCCACCCGCTGCGTCCCCGGGGCTGGGCGCCCCACTGCAGCCATCGCCGTGGTTTCGGGGCCGCTGTTCCCAAACCGTCCCCAGCCCAGGGTCACACCCCAGCTGCTTTTGGCCGCACTCAGAGGAGCGGCCAGGTGGGGAGCTGGCAGCTGGCCCCCAGCAGTACCCTGCCTTCACCTGCCGCAGAGCCCCAGGAGCACCCCAGGGCCCAGCCAGAGCCCCTCGGTGAGCTGTAGGCAGCTCCAGGGCACGGGTTGGTGCTGGGATAGAGGTGGATATCAAGTTAATGTCTTAAGAGTTTCCTGGCTAGAAACACTCTCCTCACCATATACTTGGGCCACCTCTCACACAATATGGCTCAAACGCACCAGCCTGCGGCTTCAGGTATTTCTAACAAGAGCTGCCAGCACATCAAATACTTTATTCAGTAACAGGGCCATCACTTACTGAGCTGCTTTACATTTAGCATTCCCTTACAGGAATACATACTGATTTACAGGAATACATAGTGACTTACAGGAATACATGGTGATTTACGGGAACACATACTGCATGTTTCTCACCATGAGCTGCCAACAGGGCTAACAAGGAAGGCCGGTCTGTGGTAGGAGTGCAGAGGCCTGCTGCTGCCCTCTGCTGCAGGCAGCTCATTGCCTTCTCTGCCTGAGCCTCAGGTGGGAGTACGGAAGACCTCAGCTAAACGGAGGCTTCAGGACCAAACGCTACCAGGGCTTTGTGCCTTAGACCAGCATGTTTCAAAGCAAAATGTAGTTCATTCAGATTCAGTATCTTGTTACTTATTCCATCATCAGGTTCATGACTTCTGCCGAAGGTACTTTACAATTTTCTCTGTGAAGCTCTTCTCAGAGGAGATGCCTTGTTATCCAAATAAGCAGTCAGATTTGCAAAGATTCAGCGGGCCTTGCAGTTCCCTCACGATTGTTTTGCCTGAGATTTCTCATCCATTTCCAGTGTCATGGGATTTTGGCTGAATGAAGCTGCCTTTTCCTTTCCAGCTACAAGACAAAGCATGCATTGCTGAACTGCTTCTGTCAGAGAGCAGGATAGCACTACACAGAGATGGCCAGAGAGCCAAGTGGAGACAGGCAGAGAACTGAAAAGAAACAGGCATCTGGCAAGAAGACATCCCATTTGGCCAGCTGAGCAGGGACAGACAGGAATACAGGCAGAGGTGGTGCTGGCTGCTGTCACAGTGTCACCCAGAGAGATTTCTCCATCAATTCTCAGTACAAGGGATTCCCATTGCCTGTAATCTGCAAGTTTTGTGTGTGCCTGCATTAATTATTACTCCCAATGATCAAAGAATTGTAATAAATAACCAGAACCAACGTGACTTGTGGCTCCCTATAGGTATTTCAGCAGGGCAAAAGGTAGCTTCAAGCTTCACAAAGTCCCCTCCTGAACTAAGGCTGACCAAAGACAAAATGGGGAAATGAGTTATTCCCTTCATCTTCTCTATACTGTTCCTGATTTCTTTCAGCCACACATGCAACCGGTGTTCCTTAATCCGAATTTTAGGAGGTATTTTTATTCTTCCTTTAAAGTCACTGGTCAAGTTCTCTCATTTGCACCAGCAAAGCCAACAGGATTGTATCACTGCCTGAAATGTCAATCCAGCCTTGAGTTTTTCCCAGGCATCGAAGCTTGACTGCCAGGACATTCCTCAGCCACTGAACTTTACACAAAGTACCTCCCCAAGAACTGCCTGCACACACCTCGCTTTAACTCCTGGAGTCCCAGAACCACATCAGCACTCACAGATCCGTGTGCTGCTGTTGCTTTAATGCAAATATTCTACAGTGCTATGCCTCCTTTCACCTGCTGTCACTTCTGTTAATTAACAAAATTATTATTGACAAATGTTAATTAGAAATGTGCCTTCTTTTACATAATGCAAATAGAAAATTTGTTTTGACTTCAGAGAGAGGAGGTCCTAAGACCAGACAGCAGTATCGCACAGTTCCTGAGTGAGTTCCCTCAGCAGTTATCTTTAATATGTCTGCTCTAGCACTCTATGTCAGGTCTTCGAAATTTGCAGACAAATCATCCATCAAAAAAATAAAACTAAAAATAAAATAACATTTACTATAAACAGCAACTACCTTATTGACAAAACAAACTCTCTGGCAAGTCCAAGAGAACTAGCTTGGCACTGTTAGGCTATCGTTATCACAACACAAGCACAGACTGCTTTGTTAAGAGCACCTTATCTGAGATACCTAAATAGAAGGGCAAAAAGACACAAGAGAACTAGTTGTCAGAAGATTAGAGCAGAAAAAACTGTCTCTAGAAAATGAAGTTGTTATAGCTCCACAGGCAGGAGACAGCATTATGTTCCTGACGCAGCGCTGCTGAAAACTTACCAAAGGGGCAAAGCCACCAGCCAGACCATGTGGGAGCCCCACTGAAGGCTCAGTCCTACACGAGGAAAACTTGCACAAAACGAAGCCAGTGCTGTGAAACATCTGTCGGAGGGACTTGTCCCTCGCCATTGGGAACTTAGGCTTCAGATAGTAGTTCTCTGAATTCCACCCAGGTTAGGGGCTTAAAGAAATTGGAAATGGCCTTTGTGCCTAGTTCCATTTCTCTGTTTCTTGTGGGCTTGCAGTGTGCTGACAGATGCAACACAGACCTGCAAACCTCTGCTTTGCTTCTCTTCTAATCAGCAGTGACAAGCTCATGCAGCAGAAAATAAAGAGACTGGCAGCTGTGGATCACCTCACTGCATTAACCAGTTGCTTGTGGGAGGACCCAGTGGGAGGGCCAGGAAGCCATCGCCTTCCACTACTGTATCAGCTGGGTTTGGTTGTGTGATGGTCATCTCGTCACACCTCACAGACGGGACATAAAGACCTTTGTGTGTTCTAGTCAAGCCAGAACTCCTGCTTGAGCAAGAGCATATGTTTTGTATACTCAGTCCTGACTGGCAGAGAGCAAAACAAAGCAGAATTCCCATTATCCTCAGGGAGTCATCCCGGGGTAACTCCAGTGTTAGTCTCAGATTTAATAGCTAATGCCTTGTTTCATCTCTGCATGTCTCCCATTTCAGCCTCCAAGTATCAGATTTCATTACGTCTTTTTCTGTTAGATTGAGACATCAACTATCACTTAAGTAGTCTGTGGAGAAAAGAAAAAAAGGCCTTTCTCTTCTATAAAATACACAGATTTAACATCTTTCACAATAATTAATGTTTCCTTGTGCTTTTATCCTTGTAGTTTTATCTAGATCACAGATTAGATGAATGGAGTTTAAAAAGTAAATTTGGGGTTGTTGTCAGCATGCCTGCGTGTCCATGTCAAATTGCTATTGCAGGTGGGAGAAGAAAGGAGGACAGCACGTGGGAGTCTTCAGGCTGAGGAGGAGGAAGGCAGTCCTTGCAAGCGTGTTTGTTTTGTGTGGTCTTTCGTGTCTGGTATTGGCTGGTATGCAGCCCATAAGGTTCTCACATACCACAGCGCTCTTTGAATCTTTTTCTGAGTCCAAGACTACAGAGGTCAATGCTGTGCAGGTGATGCCATACATGATGTATCTCACAGGAAAACTGTGTCAGGCTCAGATGGCTGTGACTGCGCTAACAGAGCTGGCTCAACGGCACTTGGAAGGCTGAATGTTGCTGCCCCAAGGATGGGAGGCCTGCCAAGGAAAAGGAGGTATAGAAAGGGCAGGGAATGGAGCTGGGACAAGGTGCTAGGACGAATCAAGGAGAGCCCTGGAGAGCTGGACCTCCTACTCCCGCAGCCCCAGTGATGTGCGGGATGGTCACAGCTCTGCTGCTGCAAAGGGCAGTCCGTGTCCCTCGCCCCTACCTGAAGCAGCAGCAGGTCTGCCATGCCAGGAGTGCTGCACAGGCAAAGTAGGCAGCAGACTGTGGTCAGTTTGTTTCCTCGTGTTTCCTGTGAAATGCCAAGATGGTTCCAGAATCACAGTGCAAAAACCTACATTAAGGAAAGACACAAACCATGTGGGGAGCAGAGTACAGATTATAGATTACCGGTTTGAATTCAGGCCAAGTAAAAAAAATAAAAAACTCCTACCCTCTGACAAGCAGCAGCAGAGACAGCTGTGTGGACAAACTGGTGATATCAGCCCAATTCTTAAACATCAGCTCTCTGAGGGACACATTTACTAGGACTGAGCGCTGAGGAGGCAATAGGGTGTGCTGCATAGACTTCCCTTACTGCTGTCAGAGCTCTGCATCAACCCGTCACTGCAGACAGCTTCTCAGCAAACAGACTCAGACCAGATGGGATCGCGGGGAGTGAACTCACGTCTGAACTCCCCTAGAGCTGTGAAAAGAATTGTTGGATGGGAAGGGTTTGGGTAGGCCAGGAGAAGGGGTATCCTTGTCCCCATACCCCTGTGGCAGAGCTGGCAGGAAAGTCCATTTCAGAATTGTTAAATCAATTCTTTCAGGAAAGAGGAAAGTGGGTCCCAGCTGGGACTTTGGGTGCTGACCTGAGATCTCAGCCCCAGGCAGCTGGGGCGGCTCTGTGGCCAGAGCAGGAGGGGCTGCACAGAACACGATGGGGTCCCCTCTCCACAACCGGCAGTTCGCTGGCTGGGAGCGGGGCAGAGAAGACACCCGTAAAGATGGGGCTGGTCTGTGGGAAGGGCTTTGGCTGCCTTCCCGGTCTTGCACTGAAGTGAGGCCTACAGCTGCCCGATGTCAGGATGGGGTGCGGAGGAACGAGGTTCCCCACTGCAGGACTCTGACTTGCTGACTCCTGCTGCTGGAAGCAGCGGGCGGGCTGTCCGACAGGGGTGCGGGAGGGAGGGAGGCTACTCTAGCTGGAGAGGTTTTTGGCTCCTTTCCTGGTCTCACACCGGAGCCAGGCACACAGCTCCCAGATGGTTGTGATCTCTGCTCTGGGATCTTTCAGGCCTGTCAAGGCGTTGCATAAAGGGAGGAATTATTTTGCTCCCGTGTGGGAGGTGGACATGCCAAGAGCCCCCACCGAGGTCCCTCCGCCTGCCTCTCCCAGGAAGGGTCACCTGCAGGTGAGCAGCCCCGGAGAAGGCTCCGTCTCTCCGCAGGCGAGATCCCCAGACAAAGTGCTCTGACAGCAGCAGTTGCTGAGCCTCCCTGGCATGGCTCTGCTCCTGCCAGTTCCCATGGTGATCCACAGAAAGAGCAGAAAAGCACTGATCTCTCTGGAAGACAAATGATAGGGTGTGATAATGCCAGTGGCTGTGGAGGAGGGGACAACCCTGCTTTTATGCTGTTACCCGAGTTCCCGGGGTCAGTCCTGGGGCTTACCCCACCAACTGGCAAGGAAAGCGCCAGTACCACCCCCAAAGGGATGGGAGCAAGCCAAAGCACTAGCCTCTGTTTATGTGCTGCCACAGTGAGCAGTCTGGTAGCGCTGTGACTTGGGAGGGGTTTGCAGGGAGTGCTGCTGGGGAACCCGGGCTTGGCCACCACGGGGTATTGCACACAGAGGAAACATGCACGCTGCCCTCTCCTCTGTCATGCCTAGAAACACACGGACAAAATCTCAAACTTTTCATCTTGGTCATAGAGGGAAATGTGTAAGGAACGAATTCCACAGTCCTTCCTGCACGGTATCGTTTCACCAGGGCTTCACCCGCTGCCCTGCAGGTCCCAGCCTGCCCTTCTCTCCATCTCCAAAGCAGCAAGTGTTACTCTCACACTTCCCCACGCAGTCTGGAGGCACCTGCCTGATACCCGCCCATCCACTTGCGTACAGCCATTGCCAGGCAGCACAGCCTCCAGGAAGAAACGGCGTGGAGGGGATGGGCAGAGCGGTGGTTTTTCTGATAGGTATCATTTTTATGATGCAGTTAAAGATTTCCAGAAAATTCTAGAAGGACAGGGCGGTGATGGTGAAATTGATAAAGGATAAGATGGCTTTCAAACACAGCCAACAAGCGTCTTCAGAAGCAAACCTAATTTTGTGTGCCTCCACCTCTGGGCAAAACGTTCTTGGCTCGGTTTCAAAGGTGCAGGGAAATTCGAGGGTTGGGTATCTCTGAGAACAGGTCTCAGTGCCTGAAAGAGGGTGACCAGAAAAAGGGGCAGTTTTGAAAATTTCATCTGAAATTGCATTGATTTTGTAACTACCAAGGAGCGCTCCCTGGCAGGCTCAGGGATTGACCTAGAACTTTTCATCCATGCCCTGCCCGAGGTAAAACTCCTTGTAAGAGCCGTCCACCAGCTTAGCCACAGATTTTGGCAGTGCTCAGATGTCACTGTGCTGACGGCTGCCATGCGAAAGACTTCCAGCCATTTCCTCACACTGTACTTCCTTGTCCAGAGCCGTGTGATCTGCAAAGGACCTTCCAGAGACCAGGCCACGGCCCAGGATGGCCTCCCCTGCCCCAGGCAGCCCCCTCACCTCACTTCAGTCCCCGTGTAGGGGTGCTCTCTGCTCGGGTTGTCCCTCAGCAAGGGCTGGGCTCACGCCTGCTGCACTGCAACAAGCACACGGAGCTGAGGTTTGCCGGTTAGCCTTTGTTTCAAGTCTGCACAGCATCAGGTACCAGGCAGTAATTTGCAAAGCAAGCACACCCAGAGCTGAGTGCCAGGCCCTTCAGCCAGCCCAAAAAGCAGGTACAGGCAGGTGTAGGATCACTCACTGGCTGCTGTTGGCTACATCACTTGCTCAGCAGTGCATGTGCAGAGACACACACGTATGAGATAGGTGCTAGCTCATTAACCTAAGGCAGTCAGTCCCTAATTATCATGTCAGATCTCCACTTAGGGGCGTGTGCTTTATCATGCTGATGAAGCAGAAGATACTCCAGAGCATCCTTGCCTCTTTTTTTGTGCTGACTAAGCACATGTTTGTGGTTACACACTTATGTGCTCTTGTCCTTGCATGGTAACTCTCTGATCTGGGCTCCCCCCAAGAAGTTATGGGCCTTGCTGAGAAGTTCTACAGTCCTCTCCTTTCTCCATATTTAGGTTAAGGAAATATTCAATATTACTACTTTTCATTGTCATGATATGTTGGGGTCGCTGACATGTATTTTCTCCAAAATCCCAAGCACTCAGGTAACCATTGTACCTTAAGGCAGCACACAATCATAATAGGCAAAAATACAAATACCACAAACAAGTGTTTCAGCCACTCAGAATTAGGTAACTGTGAGGTCAACTGTGAGAAGTCAGTTCCGCTATTCTGCTTGACCTCTTAAGCCAATTTATGGAGCTGTTCAATTTTCTCTTTGACTAGTCTGACAGATTGAAACAACTCCTTTCACTTTAACTGCCACATGAGTGTGAAGCAGGATGATTTATGGTCCTTCCCACTCTTCCTGTAAAGGTTTATCTTTCCACATTTGTTTTTTTACCCAGTGTTCAGGTTGGAATGGATGCACAGGGGCATCCAATGGAACCAGTAATCATTCTTGTATATCTGTGGTATAATGGTATACAGAAGGTGTCTAAGATCCCATACTGAAAAAAATAAATATCTATATATCTATATCTTCCTCAGATGTTGTCATCTGGAGAATGTGGGGGTTAGATCCCACTGTGTATGTCTTTCGTTATGTATGGTTCTCGGGTCCTGCACAGACCTATACTCTATACTGTTTAGTTTCTTTACTGGTGTATTGGGGTAATAAAGTTGGACTGGCCTTCTCAAATTAATCATACCATAGAAACTTGTCTACCAATAGCTCTAATCCTCTTGCTGCAAAAACTGACGCGATATTGGGGTACATAAAGGCATTGCTCTCAGCTTTAACTCAATCTGGACTGGGGATGCGTTTTTTACTTTCTCATGTTGCTTTCCTGTCCAAACTAACAGAGTTATTGTGTTTAAAACCTCTTCAAGTACCTGCTGGTCCCCTCCTGGCTCTAACCAGAAGGTAAATTTGGACGTTCCAAGAGTTTTCAGTTAGAACCTTAACTTTTACCTTGTCTGTGACAAAACTCACTTGGGATTTAATTTTCACAGTAAGTCTCTTCCGAGCAAAGGGAGAGCGCACTCAAGCATATATAAAACTGGTGTGTCAACATTCTTCCCCCAATTTTACAGTCCATCAGCTGCAGGAGCGGTCTTTTACAGTTTGTCACTACAGAATTAGTTGCACCACTGTCTAAAAGGGAATTGATGGTGTCTCCCCCAAACTTAAAAGGAACCAGGACATCTGGTTCCTTTTATTTTATTATTTACTGGAATTTCATCCCTTGGTCCCCGTCATTCTGACTCCAAATCTTCCAACATAATCAAATGATACTCCTCACAGCCTCTGTTCAGCTCCTTTTTCTTTTCCAGCACACACTCATTTTTCCAGTGCCCCTCTTCCCTGCACCAGGCATGTTGGTTGGAGCCTATGGGTTTACTCCTTCCTGCCCCTACCTCCTTTGTCCACATCCTCAACCTTCTCAAAATCATCTTCTATATCCACCTCCGCCTCTCCCCTGAGTTCCTTTCCCCTCTACAATAGCTGCTGCCAAAAGTAATGCCTACAGCTTAATTTTTTCTATCTCTTTTTGCACCTCGCAACCATTATAAACTTTGTGTGCAATTTCAATTAGCTGAGAGACTGACATTCCCCCAGCCCAATCTACCTTCTACATTTTTTCCTTAATGTCTGGAGCAGATCACATGATAAACCGCATGTTAAACGTTCTCTTATTGGCCTTATCATCTGGGTCCAGATCCATCCATTTTCTCACCATTTCACAGAGGCGTTTGAAAAAAGCAGGTGGGCTCTCATCTGGGTTCTGGCAGACCTCATACAGTTTAGAGGCATTTTTCATTTTTGATGCCTCGTGTTGAATCCCAGAAAGGATTACTTACTGGTACTGCTTTACCAACCCTCAGCCTCTGCCAGCATTTGGGTCCCCCTCAGGGTCTCTCTTAATCGGTACCAATGCTTCTACCTCCTCCCAGGGGAACCTCTGCCTTGCCTCTGCCAGAGCTTTTTTCCAGAACCATTCTCCTTTCCCCTGCAGTCAGAACAGTGTTTAATAAAGCTCACATGTCTGCCCAGTTGGGATTATGGGTTATCATGATACTTGCAAATAATTGGTGCATCCCCTGCGGATTATCCCTAGAAGGCCCAGCTGACTGTTTCCAGTTCAGCAAGTCTGATGTAGTGAATGGCACACGAACAAAAACAGGCTTCCCCAATGATCCTACAGCCTGCCTCAACAGGGTTTGGATAACTGGCCTTCCCTGTTTGGGATGGCAGGCAATTGGGCTAAAATTTATGCTGCTTCTGTTTGAATCAGTTGATTCATTTAGGGGAGATAACATGACCCCTGAACTTGGGGAGGCATCTTGTACTTCCCTTGCAGGGCTCACAGGTAAGCTTCCCTGCCCTGGTGACAGAAGGGGTACAGAGCCTTGGCTTCACCTACTGAGCCAACTAAGGAGGGCTTACAGGTTACCAGCCTGGTTCTGCCACACCATGGGATCTATGTGGGAGACTGACAGAGAGCTTAAACCTGCCCGTCTTCACTAAACCCATATATGATGAAGGGTGCCCTCACCAGCCCACTGGATCCCCCTGTGTTAGCAGGGGACCTCTACAAGCATCGTACCACTGTGCCACCCATCGACTCCAGGTTGGTGGAGGGCTGAGGCCAGACCTGTGATAAAGTCCCTTACTTGTGGTTACACTGCTGCGTCCTTGTCCTTGCATTTTAACTTTTTGTCCTGGGTTGGCAACACTTGTGCCCTCAGAACCACGCACAGAACAACAGCTGATTAAAACGGCCCGAGTAGCACCAACAAGTAACCCAGCTGGGACCTTCTGTAAAGGATGTCACAGGGTAATTTTAATTATTGCTTAATTAGTGCTAATTGCCCACAGCAGAAGGCCAGAGCTCAGCCTTCAAATGCTCGGTCGGCCAGAGAGCACAAGCTCTTACCCTCCAGGAAACCCCAGCCATAGGCACTGTGAGGAGCAGGATTTGCACTTGGCTATTGTGATGGTGGTAGTAGCGGGTGAGTGAAACTCGGGTGTTCTTCTGGAGCAGAGAGAGGACGTGCTATCTGTGTAATCGAATAGAGCCTACTATGATCGTATAGAGCCCGCTATGTTGTAAAGATGAGCGTGTTACCTGACAGCAGGGCCAGCCGGAGGAGCCCCCCCAGCGCCCTTCCCGCGCTGCTCCCTGCTGGGCCCGAGGCTCCTGGCCGCCTGTGCTCTGGCACCACCTGCTGGCCGCCGGCGGGGGCGCTCCCCGCGGGACTAGGGGCGGTTTTTGTACTGTTTTAAGGTCTTTTCTAAAATGTTTTACAGCGGGAAGCTCTGTGGAGGCCTCGTTCTACATAGAAATGCTCCAGCGCACAGCATTTAATTGGATCCCGTGAAGGACTTCTATAAGCTATGGGCTGTGCCTCCTTTGCATTGTGTTCCTTCTCTGGCCCAAGCTCTGTGGCAGTTGTTTTAGGCCCTCTGCTAATTACAGATAATAAAGACTTTTCTTCAATTGAAATAGAAAAGAAACCCTGTGAGCTACACCCCTGCTGTTCCTGGCCATACAACTCTGAGGAGAAAGGCCCTATAAGTGGCTGTAGGTTAGTTACGTGCCCTAGGCCTCGGTGCCAAATCACGCCTCTGAGAAACAGTGCACACACTGTGGTGTGGTCCTGACTCAGAGGGCACCTGGCCACTTGTTCCTAAAAATCAAATAAACATTGTATGGCTTATAAACATATGGGGGTTGTACAGGAGAGTAGGGAATGGTCTTCCTAGGATGATGGTTGCATTCCTTAGCTGTAGTCAGTTCAGGCATTACTTCAAAGAACCAGTTTTCTCTTTGGTGCAAAGTCACTGAACACCTCTAGACTTGTTTCTAATTTTGGCTAAAGCTGGATGTAACCCACTCCCAGCCTCACAATAGGTCAAAATTCAAGCCTGATGTTTCTGTACAAGATTGTTGTCTCTTCTCAGCCTTGACTTATTAGCCTGTGTAAAAAAAAAAAACAAAACAAAACAAAAAAACAAACAAACATTAGAACTTATCATTTATATTTGCCAAAGATTACTTGGCTTCTCAGGAGACACCAGAGGAAATTAAATATATCAAACTTTTTAAAAATTAAGATCTTTAACAAAATATTTTTTTACTGGATCAAAATTAATGTGTGATTCTTCTAGCAAGTAAAAGTAATACTGCTATTACCACAAGAAAGAGTTCTTTTGCTTTTAAATTTGAGAAAGCTTTTGTGCTTAGGCTTGTAGCTTTAACTTCACAAAGCAGAATATTGTACCCAGATTTCTACAGTCTTTGAAATTAGTGCCTACAGTTTACAGTCTGGGTTTATTTTTGCTGGATTTATATTTAAGGTAAACCTGCTGTCATAAAAGAGTATTCTTTGAATAGTAGGCATGTAGGCAAAAAAGGAGAGAAAATTCAGGGCATCTTCCACCTGCACAGGATCAGGCAAAATCCCACTGCTTGCAGGAGGTTATGCTCACAAGGGTTTGTGATTGTTAATGTTTCTCAGCTTCCACAGAGGAGAGAGACCACAGGTTTTGGATAGCAGCAGCTGTGTTCCTCTTGCAGGCTCATATTCATTCCTCCCAGAGACCAAAAATCTCTGGGAACTGTCCTGAATTTCCAGTAGCTGTTTACTCCATTATCACAAAATCGATCACAGATGGTGCTTTTGATTCTGGCAGGTTGGAAAAATAATCTCTTGGCTTACATCCTGAGCACATTTGATCTGGACTCACTGAGTGGAGTCGTGACAGTCAGTCATCTTGTCATTGACAGAGAAACACTCTCCTGACTGCAGCTAAATTTTGGGCCAGTATGAACATTTTCCTTTAAATAGCAAACTTCAGCCTTAAATAGTTACACTTTGCCCTTGCTGTTTGGCTCTCTTGCATACCAAAGACTTAGCTCTTAGCAACATGAAATCCCATCCTAATTAGCTTCTGTTTAACAATACCACTTTGTACCAGTCTCAGAATGCTGAGCTCCTTCTATTCTGGGGCTACAGAGGAAGGGAATATTTCATTTCAAGCCTAATGCAGTTCAAGACTTTTTCTGTGATTTTTTTTTTTTGAAGTGTAAAGTAGTCCTTTATGTTAAACCTTAACCACTCTATGAGTAAAAATCACATTCAAGAAATAAAAGGCTATTAACCAAACATAGCCCAGTGTAAGGGCACAAATAAGTTCTGGAAAATTCTGCATTAAGCTGACATAAATGGTTCATGCTAGTCATAAAACTGGTGTGTAAATGGTCAGGTGGTATAATTAATTATAATTTGATACTCAGCTAGAGAGAAAAATGTGTATTACTTAACTGCTGGGGAGGCAATAAGCATTTATGAAATAGAGCGACTCTCACACATGCAAGTAAGCCATCTTTTGCATTTGAACCAATACTTCCAACACCACCCAAAAGCTTTGGTACCAGAAGTATCTCTGTTTAAGACAACTCTTGAGAAGTATGGTCTTGACATACCTGACCCTATATCTCAAACAGATATGCTAATGTTGCAGTGAGACATTAAACTATTTGCTGATGATAAAACTTCCATTAGTTATGGAGCTGCTTATTTCATTCATTGATAAGCAGGGTTTGTGAACATATAAACGAACAAACATCAAAGAGAAAGTAATAAGAGACCTTACACTGAACCATTAGGAACATTGTCATGAGGGTGTGGCTATCTGAATATTTAGGAGTGGCTTTTTTTAAAAATGCAGACCTGGAGAATCATTTGCAGAAAGCCTCAAGAGCCATGTACCTCCCTAGAATAAAAAATAAACAAGGTGACACAGGAAGATCTGCCCACCATAAATGCTTTAAGATTAAAGGTTAAAGATGATCATTCATACATGCAGTTTTGTATTTGGTCCACTTCTTAAGCTACTATAAATATTTTTCTCATCTTATACGAAAACGCCTGGATTCCACTAAAGTCTCTTATCTGCAGCTATTTGAAGACATGTAGAGTGACAAGGCAGAACTGTTTTGTTTTTTTTTTTTTTTATCCCTTCAAGAAAACTATTTATGATCTGTTTCACTTGCTATCCTTGGAACTTTGACCTAATTCCCATCCCACAAATCTGTTACCCAGGACAACATTATTCTTAATAATGAAGATACCGAGTTTCTGTACTTTGTGAAGTTGTGCAACCAGCATGTTCATATTCTTTGAAATAAGATTTTGTATCTTCTAAAGTGAACACAAGAGTTCCTTCTTGAAATGGTCTTGAAATGGGTTTGGTGCCTATTTTAAAGGAAAAACTCCACAATCATGTGACACATTCCTATCACTGTAGGTAACTATAAAGCAACCTGAAAAAAACCTTGCTAAAAAAACTTTGCTGAGATCAACTTAAGATTGGAAGTTTGAGTTGATATTGGAGCCTCTGTAAAGTGGCTTAGTCTTGGTCCTGAAATATAATATCCAGCAAAGCTTTATTTTTCAGATCCTTCTGCCCATAAAGCCCTGGAGGCAGGGACTGCAATTTGTTGGGATAATTCCAGCATGCCTTGGTTTTTCAAACTCAGTGGCATGTAAGGTGCAGGTAGGAAACATACATCAGCAGAACCCTTGACCTCCTGCTCTGTGGGGATGACAGACAGCTATGTAGAGCCACTAGATTTACCTCAGATGATAGAGCTAAAGAATTGTGTGCTTAGTTAGGACTGGGGTCTGAAAAAGGGCTAGCTGGTGGAGGTTCCTTCCAGATAAGATTGTTGGAAATTATCCAGTGTCACAGAGAAGGTTATATTAGCTCTTCTAAGCATCTGTACTTTTTTTCATGTAATTACTGTTGGATATACAGATATCAGCATGGACAAATGTCTGATTTGAGTCTGTGAGATTTTTCTCTACCTCTGCCATCCAGCAGGTGGGAGGAGATCAACACAGTGAAATATAGGGTACCGAATGGATTGTTCCCTAGGGACACCTGATTCGCTTGTGCACATCTCCTCAGGGCATATCCAATTGCTCTAATTTTCATACAATTATCCACCAGCCTCAGGGAACACGACAGCACCATTTTTTACTCCCTTGGAAAGAAAGGAGTTGGGTATCACAGTGTTAATATTCATGAACCACAACGAAGGGCCCCTATGCTTGCCACATAAACTGCCCAGCAATGTTTACACCTAGAAATTGCCAGCTGGGGTTACAGGACTGCTATTGGTAGGTGGAAGCAGCATAGGTATTGACTCATCTGTCTGCATCTTTTCACTTTCTTCAGCTGTTTTAGATGTTTCAAAGGTTACTTCTGTGAGCATAACTTCTTGTGATGTCCGGAAGCCACTGTTCTGCTATACCAAAAATGTCCTGGAAATAGATTATTTGCACAAGTCTAGTGGAGTTACTCTGCCAGAAAGTGTTAACTTGACTGCTGAGTTACCTACCTTGTAAAGAGCTTTAGTCATCTTTTGTTATCCTCATCATGGGGCAAGGACACTGCGAATAAAGAGGAGGTAAACACTTGGGGAGAGAGAAAGGTGATGGACCTACTGTAGTGTAAGGGCGAGGTGAGGGACAATGTAGTCTGACCAAGGAATTCAAAGCCCTACTTCCAAGTTTACCTGTGTTTTATTTCTGCCACGGGGATATTTGCAGATAAGTAACAGCCAAATGTTCACAGAATTATGAGCACATAAATGTTTTATAGTCAGTGCAGTATAGTTAGTAGTGGAGGTTTGAGTCTGGGATCACACTGGAGAAACAGCTTATTTGGGGAAGATGTACTATATTCTTTGTCCTCTGGTCATATTAGGGGATTGAGAAGAACGTCAGTTGGTGGTTAAGACTGTGCCTCAGAGGCTGGCTAATAGAGCACCCTTAATTGCCTGTATTTGGATAGATATCCCTTAAGGAAAAAAAAATACTGAAAATGTAGCTGACTCAAAAAGTATTTTATATGCTGATATCATCTTTGGCTGTGTTAAACTGTGGTAGAATATTTCTCTCTAATAGCATGCCTAATGTTAGAACAAAATTTCCAATGGATTTGAATCAAAAAGCAACTATGACTTCTTTGCTGAAGAAGCACAATTCAGTACTGGTACTTTTACTCTCAAATTCCCCTTCTATTAACTCATTTTTTCTTTGGAATGATATAAAAGAGCTAATTTAGTTCCCGTTTACAAAGACAATTATGGAAAAAGCTCTGAAAGAATTTGGTGGCATATATGGTATACAAGTCAAGCTGTGAAAGACGTGAGATTTACTTATGCATCAGAGACTAACTTGGACTTCTTTCTGACCCTCATTCAACCTGTTCAGAATCTGTCTCATGCAGTTAGCCAGGATGTTATAAAACAGAAAATACCTAGCTCAACCATCAGGGTGAGATTAGTTTGCCTGACTACCCAGAAGTGAAGCAGCTGTTCTGAACTACTCATCTGGCTCCATCTGTCGTCCATGGAGAAAGGGGAACTTATTCCATCTCCCTGGGATGGAGTGAATCACCATCCAGAAGCGTCCATCTCTCATGACTGAGTAAATAGGGGATTACAGGAGATAGAAAGCAGCAGCTCACAGTATTCTTGTAGGCTGAGAGTAGCTAGTACAGAGTGAAGCTAGTGGGATGTAGATATAAGTACAACATATTACAAATGTGGGACAACCTTCCATGTTTGCAGCACCTCGAAGAGCTGAATTGGTCTACAGATGAAGAGTCACAAGTAATTGTGCAAATGACTTTCACAGCTGGGGACATGAAAGGTCCTTGATCATTGCTCAAGTTCCAGCTCACTTAATCTACTTTTGTGTTTATAATTCTGAGGTTGACTTCTCACTATCAGCATCAGTTATACTATTTGTAACTGAAATTTATGGAGGATTACTGGCATTATTGGGTATCTGGAGCAGCCTTTCTGCCCTCTATTATAACAACAAGACATAAAAATTAAGTTTTTAAAGTTCGCTGGGCTGATTATTTTTGGGCTGGATATTGGCATTTGTAGTCAGCATAAAAATATTTGATAATTATAGATTACAATATGATAAAGTCTAATTTTAATATTTCTTTTTGGAAATGTCATGAACTAAACAATCTTCAGGGCTATGCACTTAATCCCATTAAATTATTCACAAAAGTTTCCTTAAA